CAATGGACTCAGGACAAGGTGCGTTCCTATAAGTCTTCTTACCAATATGACCAAGTTGCGAAAACAAGGTAAAACAACTTCTTTTAGTCAGTATGCTTGACGTTTTATACCTTTGTCTTGACTCATTTTCGAGAATTATTCGATCCACGTTATTGTTAATAGTGGAGGGCTAATTGTACATTAAATTTCACAATTTTTATGCAATTACTTGGGTAATATATCTAGCTCATAAAAATGCCCTTTCAATTACTAAATTGAATTATATAAATCATTTGGCCAACAAAATATTGAAGATACTGATTTTTGGTTCGCTTTTATTAAATGATAATGTGCTGAAACATTTTAGTAACTGGACACATAAGCTCTAACAAAGCAGACTTCTTCATGAGCAATCGTTTGAAGAAGGAATCAAGTCTGTTGCTAATAAATTTGACGGATAGTCCTAGTTATCTTGTCTCTTGTCTCTTTGACGAGCTGTAATATGGTGCTACGAATGGCGAGACTCACTGACGATGCCGGCGAAACGTATGGGAAAGTACCATGTCCACGGTTTGACTTTGGAAATGATCATGCATACAATGGACTCCGGACTAGGTGCGTTCCTCTAAGTCCTCCTATCAATGTGACCAAGTTGCGAAGACAAGGTCAAACAACTTCTAGTTATCTTATGTTCAACGTACTAATTGTATGGACGATTGCAAGCTTACCTCATTCACCAATAACCAATGTTGCAATATTAGGCAAACATTGGAATTAGGAAACATTTTAATCATTATATCCATTATAGAAAACCAAGTTTAGTGGACAAAGAACATTTTGAGAGAGGATTAGATCAAATTAGAGGATTTAAAAAAATTGGATATCTGCAATATGTTATATTGCTGAAAACGCTTAAAATACTCCAATAAGATCATGCTAAAAACACTAGAACTTTTTACATCTTTATTCAGATTTTGACCTCACCGTCATGTCCTCCTAAAAAGGATTGGTGGACCATTGGGAAAGTGAAAAATAAGAACATTTTTTTTAGAGATATTTAAGCATTTTCCACAAGAATTCCTTTTTTAAGGATGT